ACAATTACGTGGGGTATTTCTGTCTAGAAAACAATTTCTAGTGTTTGTGATTTTCAGAGAAAATATTAAAAATGGTAGTTCCATGGGCCCGGCTCACAAAGCAAGTAGACATTTCCTATATGAACAAAAAAAAAAAAATAAACTTCACTGGTTCAGGTAGCAGAATTTAAAAAAAAAAACAACATACATGAATTCTCCAGAAACACAGACAGAATCTCCTCTAGTAAAGCACAAAGCACCATCAGCATCTTTCTAGCTGTGAGATGGCCAGGTTTTAATCCTCAGGAGCTACCTTGCTTCCCTTATACCTGTTCAGTAGCCAGACCAATACAACAGGAAGCCTGTACAAGAAGCTCTACATCCTCAAGGATGAAGGGGGCTTGGATACATGGGTAATGTAACATTGCTGATTATCCAACTACTACAAGAAATGCAGAAAAGCACAATCTGGAAAATCAGTCATCCATCAATGAAGTCAATGTGGGTCCTTCAGGACTTGTTAGCACTTTGGTGTCTCTGTACCATGATTCCTCTAGAACTCCAGATTCGGGAGGTCTTCTTAACCATCGACGTCAACTACCCTGCACAAAGCAAGTTCAGATCCGGGTTCCCAGCCAAGCTAATAAAATCCCCTGGAACGTGAAGCACAGCACAGAAACACCCAAGTGGGTCTGCACAGGGCCAGCTTGGGTCCATCAGGACTTATTAGTTCAGACACTGTCTGAAAGCAGCTGCACTGCAAAGCTGGTCCTGGAAATAGCACGGATGTGTTAACATGGCACAGCACTTGAACTAATAAACTTAGTGCTGAGCTGAGTCTGCTCTAGGCCAAATCTGGTGCCTGTATATCCATAGCATAGTTAATCTGCAACTGGAGAAACTGCCCAAAGAATTGACTCTGTTTCGAGCCCAGCACGCACAGCTCTACTCCTACCCATACATACAAGTTTTCAGTCCTCATCTCCTCCCTCCATAAGACAATCGCTCCATCTACCCTCTTTCTGTTTGTTCATCATTTTCTCTTTTGATTACTCACATTAATTTCTTAACCTTCCTCTAAATGTCCATGATACGGCTACACAATCCTGCCTCCATGGAAAAAAAAAAGTAACAGCAGAAACACCATCACAAGAGCTCTCACCAGGACAAGGGCAGGCTACTATTCCTAAATATAAAAAATGCTGCCTCACCTAGATGCTGTTTACCAGCCAGCCGAGATATGACTGTCTGAGGCTCTCCTTTCCTCTTCCTACTCAGACTTCCCTTGTGTGACTCTTGCATGCCAAATAGTCTGAGTGCTTCAGTGTGGTGAAGGGCTGGGGGGAGCAAAGACTGTCACCGGGCTGCTGGTGAGAATGGTGAATGAGGACAGAATGCCACAGGACAGAACACAAGGACTGATGGAAATGAAGCACATGGTGAGCGGCCTGCTGACTGAACGCCAACTCTGCCCCTCAGCTCAGGTAACTCTGCTCGCCCTTCCCACCTTCACCCACCTCTATAATCCACAAAAAATACCTACGGATCTGTGTTGCGTATAGCTCTGTCCTATGATGTGTAGGCATGAGATGGACACTAACAAAGTTTTACAGTACCAGAAATGTAATGATAGAGTTAATCACTTGCAACAGAAAATGACAGTCTGAATCTCCAAAACAGTTCAAGAGGGCTGAGATAACGTATCATTCATAAAACAACCACTCCAGCTGCACTACTCCTCTAGCCATAATCATGTCTTCCACAAAGAACAAGGCAGTTCTACCTGACTGAGGAGATTCCTTGTTTCTAAGCTGTTTCCAGAACACTAAAATAAACATAAGAACTATGAAATCAGAAACAAAATTGAAATTTAACTCCTCTGTCATCACATGTGCTCTAAACAGCAAGCAGCAATTTACTGACTATGCAATATAATAAAGTGTATAAATGCATACTGAAACAAGGAAATGAGTAATAATTTTACAACTTTCAATACTAAATCAGACAAGCATATTCTGCTCACTTTCTATGGCAATTAGAAACTGAAATCTGCCTCTTTATTTTTAACTGCTGTGTTTCAGACATCAATCCCATGTTGTCAGTTGCTGAAGTCCAAAAAAGAATCTCATCCTTCTCTTGCATTGTGCTTTTTATAGTTCTGTTTCTATGTTCACATAACCAACAAAACCACAGTAAGAGACTTATGCAAAATCAGCAATAAGCAACATAATAACTAAGGAATCAGAGCAACACATACATCACGGTTCAGAAGCCCATCCATAATTCTGCCTTGTTGTAAGAGGCTACTGTTAAGCCTCTAACATCCTTAATGATTGAAAACTACTGATACTTCAGAAAGCAAGTTGCAGTTCTCATTGTTTTACTTCTATATTTGTAACAGATTGCATTCTTTTTCAGACGAAGACACTGAGCCTCTTTGTGTAAGTAGTCACCTATAAGGGCATGTAGTGATATGACAAGGGGGAATGGCTTTAAACTGCAAGAGGGTAAATTATAGATTAGATATCGGGAAAAAAATCTTCACTATGAGAGTGGTGAGATAGTGGAACTGGTTGCCCAAAGAAGTTGCGGACGCTCCATCCCTGAAAGTGCTCAAGGCCAGGTTGGATGGGGCTTTGAGCAACCTGGTCTAGTGGATGGTGTCCCTGCCCATTCTATGATCTCCACCTATAGAGAAACTTTTAAGATATCACATGCAAAGAGAGATGAATGGCATATATCCAAGTGGAGATGCTATTAGGTTGCGCAGGATGGTACCAGTTATTAACCTTAAAAGTTGTTCTAGGAGGCAGACTACCCAGGTGAGTAGTTAAAACAAACCTAAGCTCTTGAAACCACGACCTTAAAACATGTATTTATTACAAGAAAGGCTCTGGAGCTTCTTGCATACCATTAAAACACACCTTGCTCCTTCTTCCCACTATGCACAGGATATAACAGCCACAGGTACAAGAAGATAAATAGACCATTGACACCTAGAAAGTGTTGGTAGACTTATTAACAAATTGCATTAAACTCACACCCAGAACCAGATCTTGCAGTTATTTACACCAGATATTTTTATGTATGTATGTGGCATAATGCTATGCAGTTTTATGAATATATGGATTGCCATATGAATAAAATTTAACATAGTCAAAGAGCATTTTTTATTATAAATCCAACTGCATCCATCTTCATTCACAAAAGTAATCAGATCTTCCTACCACAAATTTTGTTAAATGGCCAATGAAGAACTTCTGTGATCCACTCAACAAAGCAAAGAAATGCAAAATTCTGGAAAGTGTCAGATGTGAACTTTTAAAAAAATCTCTTTTCTGGAAAAAGTTAAACCCAAACAAAAATCATTAAATCTATTTCATTCCAGCATTCCTATTTATATGACTGGCAAGTTTCATCAGCCTTGGAGTTCTGAAATTATCAGCCATTTTTTTTAAAATCACTACATGCTCAGAGGTTCTACTAAGGCTTAATAAACTTTCTTACAGGTCTGGAGTACTATATAAATTTTGTGAGAGCTGTTCTGGCATAATTTGTAATACAAACTGTCTGGCTTCATGAAAGTTACAAGCTCTGGCTCCAATCCTGCAAACACTTACTGAAGAATTTAACTTACTGCACAGAACTGACTACTCGTGCATAAGTTAAGCGTATTTGTAAATATTTGTACAGTATGGACATCTGTTGGCACAGCCAGTCATTTGATACAAGATTCGCCTTTAAATCCTAGTCTGCAGAGAGTCAATATTAAAAAAAGGAATCCTTCACATATAAAATCCTTCTTAGGCATTGAGCATATCAGACTCCAAAGGGTGGACTGAAAAGTTAAAACCAGAGGAAGGGTGGAATCAGTGAAACATAACAATTGGTTCTGTTCATCATGTAACTAGAGAAGCCTAGTTTCTTATGGATGCATGTCTCAAGACTGAGCTCTTGCCTTGTTTTCAAACTTTGCTGAACTAAGCTTTGGATATACCTTTCCTTGAGAGGTGCCATTTATAACGCTTCTCACGTCACAGACATTTTCACAAAGCTCATAAAATTACTCCAAAGAGCTCCTCCTTTTTATCAGGTTTGGTTGAAATTAACACTCAAACGTTTTGGGTGGGGTAAGAAACAGGCATAATACAGAGATGACCCACAGATAACTGGAAGTTGCACTTCCTTCAGAAATGAAACTGAAGAAAGTCCTTATGAAATGCCTCCTAGTACCCTGGAGCTTAAGCACATCCTGTTTCACTCATCCTCTTCAACACAAAAAAACTTGTGTTCTGTGAATTTAAATTTTCAGCGTGAAAAAAGGCACAAATAAAAGGGAAAGGCACAAAGTGAGGGGAAGTAGGGCTACATCGTGTTTAAGGCCTTGTGTATACTGCATCTGCAGAACTGCCATGTGGAGGTCTCCTTCGTTATACTATAGAACGAAGGAGCTGCAGAGAGCTCAATCTGGTTTAGGGCTTACAGTTTCCAAGGAACTTGTTTTAAAGCGGAGGCTTAGGGCATTAAACCATTTCCTCCCCTAAAAAAAGTAGGAACGGGCAAAGGGGACGGGGGCAAAGTGGGCTACCACAGCAACGAGATGATGGTGAGCTCCATCAGGGACCTCAGCAACGAGACCTCTCTTCTGCCCCTCCTCTCCCCGCGGCTCACAACACTGTTTGAGAAACAGAAGCGAGCTGGCCTGTGGAAAAAACTGATGATACACAAAAACAAACCGCAGAGATGCACTGAGGGAAGCAGGGTCCGTAGGGAGAACACGGCAGGTATACTCTAGGGCCTTGTGTAAGGGCTGTGCCTCGAAACGTTCTTACCACTGTAGGGCTGGGGCTGGCTGCACGCAGCAGCTCAAGAGACTTGCCCCATCCCTCGGAGAGACGCACCCGTCTCCCGGTCGAGAGACCGCCCGGCCCCGCCGCGATGCGATACAGACAGGCACAACCACAACCGGTCAGCGGGCGCTGCGGCAGAGCGGGTCCCGCCTCGGGGCCGCGCTGGGTTACCTGGTGCAATGAGCACCCACTGGCCAGGGTGCGCGCCCGTGGGACGCTGCTTCGCGCCGTGCATGCTCCGTAAACTCCGACCGCCACCCGCGACCGCGCCGCCGCCGCTCGCGCCCCAACATGGCGGCCGGGGCGGGGCTGCATGGGGCGTGAGGGGAGAGGCGGGGAGAGAGGAGAAAAGACTCCACACGCTGCCATCGCCCAAGCTGCTGCGCTTCCCGCAGCCTCTTGTGTGGCGGACGGCACCACGCCGTGGGCGGGAGAGAGGTGCGGGCAGGAGCAGGGCACTGAGATGCGGGCGATTCACTATTTCGTCCTTTGTCGTCTCCCCCTCCCAAGTGGAGAGAATGGTACAAGCCGTTGCGGGCAGTACAGAGAGCGGCAAAGCTGATTCTCATCGTCGGGGTGGTTGGGCGAGCGGAGCGGGAGGGATTGCGGAAGGGTTGCGGTAGCGCCGCGGAACAGTTTTCCGCCCCTCTCGGCCTAGGAGCTTACAGGCAGTGGGGCTGCTTTCCCATACACGTCTTCCCCCCTCACCCTGAGGGCTGGCAGGCAAAGGCTTTTCTTTTAACCCTGACCCATCACAGGCTTGGGGGTGACCGTTTTGCAGCGGTCTGTGGCAGACGCTCGGGTGGCCATAGCTGAGCTGTGCTTGCCGCTGTTTCACCGCTGCCAACCCCTGGCAGGGAGCAGCATCTCTGCCGAAAGCTTTGTGTGGAGGGGATGTAGCTTCGATTAAATGTGATGAGTTTGGACGTAAGGACTGAAATGCAGGGTCACGGAGGGGGTGAATGGATTCCAACATCAGATGTGAGGGAGGACTGAAAGCTGGAGCTGTTCAGCCTGCAGAAGACTTTGGGGTTCTTAATCTATGTACATAAATATCTCATAGGGGACATAAAGAGGATGGAGCCAGACTCACAGTGGTTGTCCTGAATGATCACAGAGTCTCAATCAGTGGAGATGTTAAAAACCTCACAGGACATCACCCTGAGCTCCCACTGTAGCTGGCACAGCTCTGAGCAGGGACCTGGACTAGACGCTCTCCAAGGATGCTTGCCAGCCTCTGCCATTCTGTGGAACTTCATCCTCCAAGGCTAGGCATGGGCAGTCCTCTCATAACACTCATCGTCTCCAGGACGTATAATCTGATCCTGCTATAGTCTGGTCCTGTATCTTCAGATTGCACCGTGGAGCCATAGTCAAAGTAGGATCCACACTTACATGTCTTTTCATACACATGTACATATGTACATACGCTTCGTTTTATCAACAGAAGAATGAGTTGATGGCCACTGTCCCAGAGATTTAGGAGGCAAATATTATATGTTATCAAAGGTATTAAAGTATATCTATCAATTGTAAATCTCAGAGATATGAAACAAATATTAAAACCATACTAACCTCTATGCCCCAAACCAGAGCAGAACTATCCAAGGCCAACATATGCAAAACAGCTGAGTTGATCTAAGGCTGAGAGAAATAATTTCCTGAAGTTTGAGCATATACATTCATAACTGAGATTACATTAATCTAAATTTGTTTTATTTTAATTTTCCTGATTTTTTCCCCTGCTTAAAGTAGGGCAATATCCAAGCGCCAAGGATCACACCACACCATGTATTTTGAAGAAGTCCATGCTGAAATCACTGGCTTTCAAAGTGATTGCAGTTTCCATAGCATATGCCTGGGTTGCAACATTCACTGACGAGTCTTGTAAAACCGTTCTTAGTACTTTTGTTAGCAAAGAGAGAAAAAGGCTCCCAGCTGTTCCACTGTAATCGTACAAGAGCACTGGAGGAGCAGAATAGAGCTGGTTGCTGTTGAAACCTTCCTAGAAGAAAAGCCTTCCATGTGGAGAAAAGGTTCTCCATAAAAAACAACATTGATTTGGACTCCAGTTCTGAAAATTGCAATGAGATGCAGGCTGTTGTACACCACTGAGCTTAACAAAGCTCTGGAAAAGCTGGGAATCCAACTGTGCAAGCCTCCAGGTACAGTGTGTGTCAGGGTCAAGTCTAGAGGCAAAATCTGCAGTTGTTCCAGACATCCATTTCCTTTCTGACTGTGGTGAGCGATGGAAATGTTCTAGCAAACATCGCTGTACATATACAAAACTGACTTATTGAGCTCATATTTTTCAAAGCACCAATCTGTCCTTATTTAAGCACCTGATAATCTAATTTTCAGAGTTACCAAGTACTCCTGACACCAATTTAACTGAATGGACATTCCAGCTGTTTTTTTCTTTAAATTTATGAGCATCTCCCACAATCTCTGGATGCATATTGGCCCTGGGATCTATAATGTCCCTTTTGCGACAGTCCCAGTTTTGGACTAAAAATAATGCAGTAATTTATACATATTAAATATTTAAAGCTTTCTGTTGTTACTCATGCACATTTGAGATACACTATCTTTCTTTATAAACAGAGGATATACTGTATCATTATAAACAGAAGATATACTAATTAGGGATTTCTGTCAGGAGCTAATGATACTAAAATCTTATTTGCTTAAGAATTAAATCGTTTCGCTCCAGGCTTGCCAACACTTTTAAACCTTAGTGATATCTCCCAGAAGGGAAATGCTGACATTTAAAGCATGAGACTGATCTGAACTGCTGTGGTGATATCATTGTAAATACTCAAATCTTAATTTTTACACACCATGGGTATTGTCATTTGGGTATATATGACTCATCCAGAAAGCTAAATGCATGCAATGTGGGACTGCATCCTATCTGAGGACAATCAGTGTACACATTTCGGAGCCATGTGATGTACATTCAGACTTCACCTGCATGCTGTCCATTCATTCATTTCTTCTGGGGCTGCTTCTCATAATCCAAATGGCTGTGCAAATGCAAGCATCCCTTTTTGCCAAGCAAAAGTTACTGGCTTTCTACTGCCAAAGAAACACTACCTTTGTCTACCTTCAGCTGTGGAATTTACCCTTTCCTCCTCCCAAGCACAAGTGGGGATGCACTTAAATGCACAAGCTGCATTTAAGTGAAGTAACTCTTAAATCTTGCTTGGAGCAAGAAATGGAACAATGTTTAGAAAGAAATGTGGTTCATTGTTAAGTCAAGGTTGTCATTTGAAAGACAAAAATGTTTCCACTTACGGTTATGTTTCATTTTACACTGTTTCAACAAACAAATTATATTTATGGGCCAAGTTTATCTATTTTACGCTTCAGTGATTCAAACATTTACATGCATTACTTTAAATCCATTGATCTGCACATTTAAGGGTCAGCTGTATGTATGCAAGTGTTAAATTTCATCCCAGGCTTATTGATACATGTAACTTTAGCTGATGTTCAAGGATAATTATGATTCATTTAAAGTGATTTAGCTTCAAATACTGCTCTCTGTTCATCACAGGTCAAGTTATTGTTTTGTTTGGTTTTATTCAAAATAAAAGATGTATGGCATTGAAACAAATTGCAAATATTTTCTTCATTCTTTTCTTTCCACTTATTTTTCTTCTTGATAGACAAGAATCACATCCTTATGATTAATGGTGGATACACAGAAATAAAGGAAAATAAGATAAACATGAAAACTGGAAATCCTAATAAAAATGTATAAGGAAACATGAATCATGCTTCATTATATATTAAAATAAGCTCATTTAAATGACAAATAGCATATTCTTAGCATGGTTTAACTGAACATAAATCGATGATGAAGTATCTGTACTCTGACCCACCGAAGAAAATCACAGTTCTTCTTCATTGTGTGACCAAGAATACTCCATGAATGAAATGGAACATCACTTCAAGTAACTGTATCATCTCATTACATGAGCCTTGGTACTGTCTTATTCCATGGCAGGAAAGATTCCATTTTGTCACATGAAACACACATGCTGGCCCGTAAGAGGGAATAGGTCCACATGAGCAGTCATCTTGTTCTCTAGAACAGCTTTGCTTGCCTCACAAAGTGGTTTCCCAATCTCCTTTTTTTTTCAATTCACAAATACCTAACAGCTGGTTAATCCCTATATTTAAACCATAGTGACCTTAGAAGTTCTGCTGTGACTCAAAAGGACATGTGGAGGCCTAATATGGAGATGACATTGACCAGAAAGAACACATACAGGCAAACATACAAACCCACATACAAACCTATAAAAGAACTCTCAAAACCACGTTTGAATTTCTAACTGTAATTCCAAGTCAATTTTTCAAGCCAAAAAATAATTGTTTGAAATAGTTCTTCATTGCAGTATTCCATTTTAACGAAAATAACGGTATTCATTAAAAGCATTCAAACAATGATGAAAAAGATTCTGAACAGAAATCACTTTGTCCTTTGGACTCTAACAAAGTCGTATCACACCTATTGATAACAATCAGCAGGTTTCGCCTTAACAGAAATAACCTACTGGGTTCCAAAGTTTGACTGTGTGTCAGGTCAAATAGGAGTAAGACAAAGAAAAGGAAAGAAACCAGAATTAGATGGGGAAATGTGGGTACACCCACAGAAACCAAGGGATTCATACTGTGTATTTTTGTGTTGTATCTAGCTTCAAGCTGATTGTTTAGGGTCAATGAAGAGAAACAGAGTAATATTTCTCTGACCTGCTTTGTAAGTTTATCTCAAGAGTTAGCCCAATAGCCAAACTGCAGATCCGTTTTTTCTGTACAGGGACAGGCCTCAGTTTTCATACAGCTGTTATCATTATCTCTTACTTTTTCACCCCATCTTTCATGAATCCATCACACCCAAAGGATAGATGAAAACTTGATTGTGGGGTTAGCACAAGCGGGTATTTATTGACCCAAGTATGCTGGATCTCCCACTTTTCTTTCAGATCACTTAAGAACTATTATTTTTCCTCTGTTTAATAGACCAGAAAATTTGCTATTTGGAGATGTGTTGCTATAGCAAGCAGAACTTGGTCTGTTTATAGAAGCTTCTGAGAATGATGTATACTGTTCGGAGAAAAGAGTCGAATGAGTATACAGGTTGTGAGCTGGCTTGAAGTGAACAGTAGCAACACTTGTTTAATGTGCATGATACATTCATCCACAGCAATAAGTTACTGCAAAATATCCTCCAGATTATGACTCAGAAACTGGCAAAAAAAAAAAAAAAAAAACCCAACGAAAAAAGCATTAACATATTAAAAAAAAAAAAACAC